TTGGCACTAGCTAACAAGGTTATGTGATAGAAAGTGTATTGGAGTTAAAGGATTAGAAGATGATGTTAAGTTAAGTTAACCAAGTATGGCATGGATTTAGATATAGTTATGTGTTATGATCATATAGATATGATGTAGTCAAAGAGAAAATGATTTGTATGTTTGAAGAAAGTTAAGGATTAACATAAAAGTTTAAGATGATAAAAGGGATATTGGTATTGTGATTTGAGCAAGGATTTTACAAGGAATAAGATTTGTGCAAAAAGTGTGAATTATCAGAGTTATGAAGATGTGATAAAGATGGGTAATTAGAGATAAGTATAAGTAATATGAAAAGAGTATGGGAGTATGAAGGAAAAAATATAACCGATGTTATAAGGAGATCTTGATTTAAGGAAAATAATGGAATAAAGAAATGAAAGGATGAAGTTTAAAGAATCAGATATGATAAATGTTATGTTGAGATATAGATTATAAGTTTGACTAGAAGAAATAAAGGTACGTCGGCTGATATGAAAGATTGTTTGATTCTGCAAAGTGTATGTCTTTAATCATATATGATGAAGATTTAAGGTTATATTTCTTGGTCAAGTAGACGTAGTCTGAGAAATAAAGAATGATTTATATGTATTAAGGAAGTTTAAGAGGCAGTCAAGTGATGATAGAATAAAAGTTTGGTTATTATTACAAGGCAATTAGAGATTGATAAGGAAATTGATTGATATATGATTTTGAGTGATAAGAACTGATGTTACTATCTACATGATAAATGACACGATATGGATGTATAAAGGAAAAAGGTAGTTGAAGAATTGAAGTAATGAAAGCCAAGTTATTAATGATAATACAAAAGATTAAATTGAGGAGGTGACATGAGAATATGAATAGGATATGTATAGACAATATCTTCATCTAATAACATAGTGAAAATTTGAGGACGAATTTTCTTAAAGGATGGGAGATTTCTAACATCTCAAAATAGGGCTAGAGACTAAATTATAAATTTTGAAAACTTTATGCTCAATTTTGAAATAAGTTAAAAGTTCAGGGACTTAAGTAGAGAATTTTGATGTTGGATTGATTAACAAAGTTGGAAAGGTGAGAGGGTATAATGGTCATTACATAAGAAAGATTGTTATTTTTCCTTATTAAAGGGTGTAAACACGTGGAGTAAGAGAGAAAGAAAGAAAATTCTGGAGGCTTCATCTTCTTCCTCTCGTGCCTTCAATGGTAAGGTGAGTTGGATTCAACTTGATTGTTTCTTTAATTTTAAGGTTTGTTTTGATTCTTAGAGTGATAAGAAAGCTTAAGGGAAGTTTTAAATGGTTTAAAACTCAAAGATGAAAAAAGTTATGAGAAATTAAGTAAAAGGCGTTTTTAAGTGAATTATTGAAATAGAAGGTGTTAAGAGATTTTGAAGTTAAATTGGACTTGTCAATGGTCTAATTAAGAAGTTGGAAGCAATAAAATTGAATTTGGAACATGTTGAATTATTGGCTTAATTATTGAATTCAAGAGTGTGTATGGGATATTAGATATTATGATGAATTAAAGCGATCTAAGTTGATTAGAATAAGTGTAGTTAAGCTTAAAAGACTAAAAGAAGGTTATGGTAGAGGATTTAAGTGAGTTTGGTAAGATTTTTGGGCTTAAAAAGTGATTTCTGGGCTATGGGTATCGGTATTGCTTCATCAGGTATCAATACTTCAAGAGTAAAATAGGGAAAACATTCATGAGGTATCGATACCTGAAGAACAATATCGATACCAAGGGTACCGATACCACAAGGATGGTATCGATACCATATTCGAAACGAGAATTACATAATGCAATATGGGTATCGATACCTAGGCATGGTACCGATACCACAGTTAGGGAAGTATCGGTACCATGCATGGGGGTACCGATACTACTCAAAGTGAAATGTGAGTTGGATACTTCATTTAGTTTAGATTATTGATGATTGGTTATAAGTGATTAGAATTATGATATTCATATCGATTATATGTAAATTGTAGATATCGATCGAAGCCAAGTCCAAGATGGTTCGAAGTTATAAGAGTGCACAAGAGTATGTATAGGAATGGCTAGTGAGGCTCATGTAAGTGCATAATAGTATTAAATATGATTTGATGGTAAATTAGACTTGCGATAAGTTTGTTTCCTACATGTTGATATATATGATTGCATGAGTAGAATAATGATTAGGATTGATATTTTGTGAATATGATTTGTATGCATTATATGTCATGTGAACATAAGAGAACAGAACATAAAGTATATGATATGAGATAAGTGAATGTATGCATATATTATCTATGTTATGAATAAGATATATATGGTTACATGAGATATATGAGAAAAGGTACATGTGACATGTGAATTATATGGAAATGATCTACGTGTAAGTGAACTACGTAACTCTGTGATCATATGAAAATGTGATAATGAGCTATGTGAAAGGACTATGAGATTGTGTGTCTATGTGATATGAATATGTGAATGTGTGATAACATAAATAATAATGACCATGTTATGTGTTATGAGAGCTAGGGGTATAATTGGTATGCCAAGAGTCGAGGGTTCTACGTGGTCATTCGGGACATATATGTAATCCTTTGGAACATATATGCGGTACTTCGGTACACTTATTTGGTCTATTGGAATATGTATATGATTCTTAAGGAGTGATACTTCGGGACATATGTGATATGTTATATGTGGTCCTTCGGGGCATATGTGATATGTGATATGTGGTCTTTCGGGACAAATTTCTAAGTGCCCCTAGTGGGAATTATACGAGCTGTTGTGATAGCATAAGTGCACAACCTCTATGTACTCACATATCTTTAGTTCTCACATGTGTACATGGGTTAACAAAGAGATAACAATAAACATATTACATGTGATGTATATGCTTTTGTGATATGAAATATGTTACATAAATTATATGATGATATGTTCATTGTTTGGTTAATAATGTTAGGTGCAAGAGCTTATAACTAAGAGATATGATTGATAATAATGCTAATAATGATAAAATAATAATAAGAATGAATGATAATGTAATGTATGTATTTATGTTTCGATATGCATAATTGTTGCATAGTTTATGATACATGATGATTACATGAAGTGTGCATAGTAGGAATTAGTAATGATATGTTATAGTAAGTTTATTTATGCCTTACTAAGTCATCGACTTAGCGTGTGAGTGTTTCACACGTAGGTTCCGGGAGGCAAGAAGATAAGCTAAGAGGAGCAAGACAGGTCAGCCACTCCTTTACGAAGTTCAGATCAGAAAAGAATTTTGGATTATGTGTACTTTGTTAGATTAAATTTAGTTGGCATGTACTAAGAAATTAGATTTGAATATGCTCTGATATGTTTTTTTGTAAAACCAATTGATTTTAGTTAATGTAAAATGTTAGTTTTCTTGAAATGTGAAGTTAAATTTTTGCCAATTTGTTAAGAAAAACGTTTTAAAAAGTCAATGTGACACCTCAGACTCAGATACGGGTCGGATACGGGTTGGGGGTATTACAGTAGGATCAGGGGTGGATCCATAAATTAAAAAAATGAGGGTTCAAAAAAATTAATATTTTTTCTCAATAAAATGGGTATGTAAATTTTTGTATTTTTTCTCTAATATATTGAACTATATTTAAGAATTTATCCAAAATAAATCACATCAATTTTTTTATGTTCAAAAACAAATTTTATGATATGGATTCAGTATTCTAAATATAATTATAATATAATTATGAAATTTCTAATAAAAAATCGTGAAAATATTCAGTCTCACATTCAAAAATTCAGATTTTTTAGAAAATTAAATAAATATCTTCAAACGTCGAAAATCATTTTATATTGATTAAAGTAATAATTAATTAAAAATATATATTTAATTAATCAAATTTCAAATTTAAAAATTCGGGACGTTACAACCAGTTCTCATAATTCTTGGCTTGTGCTCTCCTTCCTTGATGCTCTTTCTTGATATTGGTCAATCATTTCTCATATTTATTCATAGGGAATAAATCCAACTGGGTAAGAGTTATTAGGAAAAAGAAACACTAAAATTAAGCTACAATGCAAGAAAACCATGCAAAATGTCTCTAAAAACGGACAAATATACAAAATAAAGGAAAGACACCAAAAAACTCTAGAAACCTAATTGTATTTAAGGAAATGACTAATTATACTCTAAATAATGCTCTTGTGGATTGCTCTTGGAATGCAGATTTTCGTTGCACCCCTCGTGAATGTGATAGAATGGCCGATGGTATAACAAATTTGGCATGGAGCTTACCTTTCGGGTTTCGGACTTACCTTACGCCACCTGATGCTGTTGTTAGGCCTTGCCCGGTGATGGATCGGCTGTGCAGCCTATGTAGGGTGCTGGGTTTATTTCATGCTTAGTAACTTTGTTTGTTTCTCGCGCTTCATTCAATAAATAAATAAATTGAATCTCATTATAGGCTTATAGCAATACTAGGATGCATGACATCCCAAAAGTCCTTGTGTTGCATCTTCGGGAATAAAATTTTATTTAAGAACGAAATCAAGATGATATCTTAGAAATAATATACATAATAATATAATTCAATAAGATATAAACATATTTAGTGATATCTAAAAAAGTTGGATTGAATTTTTAGATCAGATATCCAGATACATAAGTTCAAATATAAAATTTAATTTGACAAAAAAATCATATTTAAATTTTACATTTTGTGATTTTATGCAACATATTTTATACTTCTATTATATTCTATATAATATATATAAATTATTATTTACAACACAATAAATAATTAAACATTCTAATTTTTATTGGATTAGAGTGAGTTAGTGAATTACTCATTTATTGTACTAAATGTTGTCTAAATTTTTTTACACACCCCTGACCTTATTTTCCAATGAACATTACTCCATTAACTCAATATATAGTGGCCCCAAATCTTAGTTCCTTGCATACTTCACACCATTGAAGTCCCTAAAGAAAAAACTCTAATTGTCACCATGCCTGAAACCTTCTCAAAACTACTACCCTGCACTTTCTTCTTCCTCTTTACTCTGCTCTTCCTCTCAATCAATCTTGCCTCTGCAAAATCTAATGGCTTCTCGAACGTTTTGTCTCCCAAAAAGCTTGGCCTCGAGCGAGAGAAGCTCGGCCACCTTCACTTCTACTTCCACGACATAGTCAGCGGGCGCAATCCCACAGCTATCCGAGTCGCCAGCGCCGCCATGACCAACAAATCCGAGACCATCTTCGGTGCTGTCGTGATGGTTGATGACCCTTTGACGGAGGCACCCGAGCGGAACTCCAAGCTTGTGGGAAAAGCGCAAGGGATTTACACATCCGCAGCTCAAGACGAAGTTGGTTTATTAATGGTGATGAACTTGGCCTTCATGGAAGGCAAATATAACGGCAGTTCCCTTAGTCTTTTGGGGTGCAACTGCGTGTTTTCGACGGTGAGGGAGATGTAGGGATGGCAACGGGTCGGGTTCGGGCCGGGTATTGGTCCCCGTCCCCGTCCCCGTTTAAAAAATCTGTAATCGTCCCCGCTTAAAAAACTGCGGGATTTAAACGGGATCCCATCGGGTAATTGGGGAAAACTGCGGGGAACGGTATCCCCGTTTAGCATAAACGGTTATTTAAATGGGTATCGGGCCGGGTATCGGGGGATTACCAAACCCGTTCACGTCCCCGTTTAGCATAAACGGTTTTTCCCCTTCACTATCCCGTTTATCTTCCTCGAATCCGACCCGTTTAATTCGATTTTTGGTTTTTCCGTCGGATTCGGGTTTTTTTGCCATCCCTAGGGAGATGCCTATCGTCGGCGGTAGCGGCCTTTTCCGGTTTGTCCGTGGATATGCTCAGACTAAGACTCATACATTCGATCTTAAAACTGGGTACGCTGTGGTGGAGTACAACATCTATGTCTTCCATTATTGACGTGATGAATGGCTTTAGATTTTATGGTCTATTTTCCTTCGTTTGTATTCTTCTTTTGGCTTTTATTAATCTGCTTTGGACCACTTTTATGTTTATTGATTTTCCAATAAACTCATCGCATTATTACAATATTTTTTATTATATTCATCATTTATATATAATATTGATAATAGATGTATGTTTCAAATAGTTGAGAGTTTTAAATAAATATTATCTATGTTTACCCTAAATTTATATATAAAAAATATTATCTTTAATTATATTTTGGATCCAATTACTTTTAAGATCAAACTAAAAAAAAAGTTTTGACCCATATTTTCCAATTTTAATACTTCTTAAGTTTTCATTCATTTTAAAATAAGGTAAATTAATATTGATCCTTACTTTTTGTTTAAATATTAATTAAATTCTTGTTAATTTCAATTTTTTTAAAAATAGAATATGACTCTCTAATTTTAAAGGCTTATAATGATGACTTAATAATTAGACATTAATTTTATTTTATTACCATTTATAACCCCTTAAAATTTAATTCTAGCTGATGGTTCAAAAAAAATTCTAGCTTCATCCCTATCTATAGTACATATCAATCACAACAAAATTATCAATCAATATACCATATCTATTAGTAAAGAAAATACCAACCAATTTATAGTGTATATTAATCACACGAAAAATTACCAATAAATCTACGATATATTAATAACAATTATACCTTTTTGTGATGATAAATTATAAATATTTTAAATTAATCTCTAGAAGTTATTAAGTCAATTGCATTAAACTTTATAAAATTAATTTATTTACCATAAATATATTTTATTAATTTAAAATAAAAACTAGGAAACAAATAACCCTAAAAGAAAATTAAAACTTGCCTACCGAAAAATAATTGAAGTGGCTTTATGGTTCAAAGGTTAGATTGTAGAGCCGGGCCAATATATTTTGGGGCCAAGTCATTTTATTTGAAAAGTATGTCATATTAGCTTAGTATAACAGTCTGCAATTTTTTCTATATATAAATCTTGATGAATACAAAATAATATATATATTATTCAATTTTGTTTTTAACATTTTTCTTTATTTTTATTAAAAATAATATTTCCCATTAAGAATTGGATGCTTTTATTTTCATTTTTATGACAAATTAATGTTTTATACTTTTTAGAATATTTTTATTTTTAAATTATCAGAAATTTTTATATTTTTTAATCTTTTTCTCAAAAATAGGATTAAATTATTTATTTTAGGAGGGAGTGGATTACTTTTAAGTTTTAACGTTGTAGAAAGTGTATATATACTCCCAAAAAATTCAAAATTAATATGAGTTTTATTTTTGTACAATAGGAGCTTCATTCATCTGAAATGATTTACATCATCATTCTTATGGCTGTGTTCCATTGAAATTTCATATTCTTCAGTATAATTTGGTTGCCAAATGATTTCACAACAAAATTGTAAAATCAAGAAGGTTATATGAACAAATAAAATGATGTATTTTTTCTTCTACCTTTAATAAAAAAAAATTGATAAATCTGGGTGAATATAAAGACAGTATTTGTTCAAAAACTATTAACAATTTGATAATGAACGTTCATTTTAATGCATATGTGGTGCTCAAATCCGAGACCGTAAAAAATAGCAACAAATCTCTTAATGACTTAAGTCGCTTGGTTAATACTTCTTTTTAATAAAATTATCCACGGTAAAATTACATACTTTTTAATATCAAGAATATTATTAAGTTCTAAAATTTTAGAATATTTTTAAACAAGTCCTCGTTCAAAATTTTAGAAGTCCTTATCAAACTTTAAGGTTTTAGAATATATTTAATTAAGTTCTTTCTCAAAAATTTTAGAAGGGATATTAGCAAAGATAAATTCAACTTCAAAATTCATATCTTTTGTTAGTTTGATGTGTTATTTTCAATGTTTTCAAAATCGGACCGGACATTGAACCGGTGAATGTACTGGTTCACTGGTTCAATCGGGTTCAACCGCGGTTGAACCGGATTTTATATAAAATAATATATTTTTAAAATTTTACATAATATTCAAAGCAATATTAATATATATGTAACATTTTTTTTAAGTTTACAATATTAAAAGGTATAAAAATATCACAAGTTATAACATGTATAAATGAAAAACCATAAAATCAAGTGAAACAAAATGATTCAAATCAACTACAACATAATATTTAAGGTAAAACATATTAAATAATAAATATAATTATAACTATAATAAAAATAAAAATTGGGGCTTAAAAAATTATAACAAATGATGTCATTTGGTTTAATTGTTTAAAAAAACAATCTCACATGGCTAAGAAACATAGAAGAGTATCCCAAAGTTTAAAGGTAAAAATATGAGAACAAACAATCCACATGGCTAAGAAACATAGAAGAGCATCCAAACTTACTTCTATAAATAATAGAGGTAATTTGACATTCAAAATCATGGAGCCTTTTGGTGAGCATAAAGCGAACTATTCTTTCGCTTCAATTGAGCTCAAATTTTAGGCTTCAATCGAACTTCTAATTTTTTTTTGAGTTCGAGCCTTTTCGATTTCAAGTTTTAATATTATATTTCGAGTTGATAATTTTTAGCTCGTGAGTTTTTTGAGTTGAGTTGCTTACTTTTAAGTTTTCGAGTTTGAGTCGAGCTCAGCAATACTCGAATTTGACTCGGCTCGTTGAACAAACGACGTCGTTTGGTTTAATTTTTTTTTAAAGAAATAAAGTGAACCGGCGATTCAAACCGGTTTTGCCGGTTTTCAGCCGGTTCACCCCGATTTTCCCGGTTTTCAGCCGGTTCTTCTGGTTCTGTGCTAATCCCGTTTTGGGAGTTAATCGGACCGGACAGGCCACCGGTTCACGTTTCAACCGGTCGAACCGACCGGTCTGATCCAGTTTTAATAACATTGGTTATTTTAGATAAATGATATATTGAATGGTCTCAATGGTTAAATAGTAAAATTAAGAGAATGCAAGGGGTGCCTTAGATGGATCACATGGAATTAGTATAGGCAATCCAAATGGTGAAAAAATGAGCGAATTTCAAATGGAGACGAGAGAGGGAATAAAGAGGGTCTTTCCCTTTTCACCTTCTTCTGTGTTCCTTCACCATCACACTTCCCAAGTTGAGTTTGACATACTAATAGGGCCATATCTTTTTCTTAGGTAAATTAGTATGAGTTATTAAATTTTATCTAATTGGTTATTGTGCATAAATTGCTACCACCGTTAACAACTAATCAATAAAATTAAATCTAAACATATGAAATAAAAATAATATAACATTTTTTATTACTCAATTAATTAATAAATCTCAAAATATTTTACATGTGAGATAATATAAACATATTTAACCATATGAATGTTAACAAAAAAGGGTGAATGAAGTGGGGAAGGATTTAGTCAATAGGGATAGCCAAATTTAGTAGAAACAAGCTCACAGTAAACTAAATATAAATACCCGCAATCGGAAACAACTCCTGTTTTAACTATCATCAGCGCCATCTTGGAAGAGGTCAAGGGCAAATGATTCGATCATCAACCGCCCACTGATTTTAACCATTCCCCCTTCCCTTTTTTCGTTTAAATTGCTTTGCCTCGTTTTCGCGTCACCCGGACACGCAGATCGACAGAAACCTCAAAAGCTGAATAAATCAATGCGACCCCAAAAATAAAAATTAATAAAAAAAAGTTAATAGTTTTCTTTCTCATATTTCTCTCTTTCTCTCTTTGATTTTCCTTCCCTCCAATCGCCATCGCTATTTTCACCGTTTCTACCTTCGGATTTTTTCTCACCGCTCTGATTGATTGACCGGCGATTGATGTTCTTTCATTGGACAAGTTTGTGAGTTTCTTAATGACAAGGGATTGATTTCTCGTTTCCGGAGGTTAATTTTATCGGGAAATTTTGCCTCCTTTTTCCACCTCTTTCTCTCAACTTCCGCGGTGAGTTGCATTTTTCCTAGTCCCTCGCTCCTCTGATGCGTAGAAATGTTATTTTCTGTAAGATTTCTCGAGAAAGAATGTTTGAATTTTTTAAATGTTAATTGAAAATTACAAAAACAATGAATGTTATTAAGAGATTTATTTTATTTCCCGGAAGATTTATGTATAAAACGAAGGAACTGTAGTTACATATCTTTCATTTTTTGTTGTTTTATCGTTTATTTCAGAAATTTTCTATGTGATTGAATGATGAAGGAGGAATCAATATAGCTGGTGGCTGGAATCAGAAATGAAAGGAGGGAAAATTTAAGAGGATATGCACTATTCAAGAGAGAATCAGAACTTTAATATTTTTTTCATTTTTTAGCGTAGATTCTTTTTTTTTAACTTTTAGTAAATAATTAGGTTGCTCGAGTTCGAATGAATAAATTGCCACATGGAGTCAGAAATATTTTCGCCTCCAAGAGATTTGGTAAAATGTTGTAATTGCAATTGTACTACCTGTGCTTTGATTGGTGCTCCTCCGAATTCCTGGTTTCGGTCTGTGAAGCGAAAATATGATGAGTTTGAGACTGGAAACAACTTTTATGTTCCAGGGCTTGATCTTTATTCCAATGCCCGAGTCCAAATTGAGAATGAATGTGCTGCTTTGCGGGAGACAGTCAGCAGCCAACAAGCAACAATACAGGATTTGTATTCAGAATTGGAGGAAGAGAGAAGTGCCTCATCTTCAGCTGCAACTGAGGCCATGTCGATGATATTGAAGTTGCAGAGCGAGAAGGCAGAGATCGAAATGGAGGCTAGGCAATTCAAGCGTTTTGCCGAGGAGAAAATGTCACATGACCAGCAGGAGATAGTGGTTTTGGAGGATCTGTTATATAAGAGAGAGCAGACTATTCAAGCTTTAACCTGTGAAGCACAGGCATACAAGCATAGGATGTTGAGTTATGGGTTTACAGAGGAAGAGGTTGAAGGTGAGAAGGATGGACAGACGTGGCAGCCAAGTGTGGCCGAGGACTTCGAGGCCGAAGCTGATATTCCTGAATATGATTATCCTCCTCTAAAGTGCAATTTGAACGAGAATCCTGGTAATGATGTCGACGATGTTGAAGATGTTGAAGACGTTGAAAAATATGCATTTGGTGAGACCCCTCGTGCCCGAGAAC